CTCTCAATTCTCTGGTGGTCCAATGATCTTGGAAGAGGAAAAATCTCTTGCTATGGAACTTGCTCTTTCATCGATGGATGAATTAGTCAAGATGTGCACAAGCTCTGATCCGCTCTGGATTAGGGCTTCTAATGATTCTGGAAAAGAAGTGCTTAACGTTGAAGAATATTCTAGAATGTTCCCATGGCCTGTTGGAGTCAAACAGAATGGAAATGAGCTTAAAATTGAAGCAACTCGTAGCAGTGCTGTTGTTATCATGAATAGCATCACTCTCGTTGACGCCTTCTTGGATACAGTAAGTTATATACACTAACAGTATATTTGTTATTATGTTTAGTGTGTTACTAATAATACTCTCATTTTTACTAGCATTTTGTTTTGATATCTTTATACAAATAGTTAGTCAGATTCATTGTTAACTTTTCGAACCAATATATAGAGTATACTAGTTAAACATGATTAATTTTTTTATTTTTTTTCCAGAATAAATGTATAGAGCTTTTTCCATCTATCATTTCTAGAGCCAAAACGATTCAAGTTGCAACTTCAGGAGTTTCAGGACATGCCAGTGGTTCTCTTCAATTGGTAAGAAATAAATAAAACTTTTCATCTTTTGTCTTATGTATATATATTATTATAAGTTGAAATTTTATTCTGGATGGTTTAAAAAAGAAAAGGGTGCCACATAAAATAATATGAAACAACGAGTAATTTTTTGTTTTGTTTTCAGATGTTTATGGAAATGCAAGTTTTGACACCCTTAGTGTCAACAAGAGAATGTTATTTCTTGCGTTATTGCCAACAAAATGTGGAGGAAGGGAGTTGGGCAATTGTTGATTTTCCTCTTGATAGTCTTCACAACAATTTCCCACCACCTTTCCCTTATTTCAAGAGAAGACCTTCTGGATGCATCATTCAAGACATGCCCAATGGATACTCTAGGGTAAGTCTTCCTCGTCTCAAACGGATTCAGAATTTGAAATTCACGACTTATAATTAAATGTTACACAAATTAAATGTTATACTATTGTGAAGTCAAATGTCTATATATAGTCTCTCATCCCCTTTCTTTGCGTTCTGTTTAACTACCGTTAGCAACTATTGTCAATATAATTTAGAAATTTCTAAGTTGTTACAACCATGACCTAAAATGAAATTTATTGAAGTAAAATGAAAAATTGAAGTTAATTTGTTTTAAATTTTTTTAGGTTACATGGGTTGAACATGCTGAGGTGGAGGAAAATCCAGTGAATCAAATATTTAATCACTTTGTAACTAGTGGAGTGGCATTTGGAGCACAAAGATGGTTATCAATCTTGCAAAGACAATGTGAAAGGCTTGCTAGTCTTATGGCTAGAAATATATCTGACCTTGGAGGTATCTATTTTTCAATTAAATGATCATAATATAAATTGATTAATTCTTCGCCTTTATTTATTCAAATAACTGTTGTTTTTAATATGTGCAGTGATACCATCTCCAGAAGCGCGAAAGAGCTTGATGAATTTGGCACAAAGGATGATCAAGACATTTTGTATGAACATTAGTACTTGTTGTGGTCAATCATGGACAGCTCTTTCTGATTCTCCTGATGACACTGTTAGAATCACTACTAGAAAAGTTACGGAACCAGGACAACCTAATGGACTAATTCTTAGCGCGGTTTCAACTTCTTGGCTTCCATATAATCATTTCCAGGTCTTTGATCTCTTGAGAGATGAACGTCGTAGAGCTCAGGTAATTTTACATTTTTATTTAAATAAAAAAAATTCTATCAATTTTTTCGCGTAAATTGAGTTGATTTGAATTGTTGTAGTTGGATGTACTTTCAAATGGGAACTCATTACATGAAGTGGCTCATATTGCAAATGGTTCACATCCAGGGAATTGCATCTCTCTTCTTCGAATTAATGTAAGTCAATGCACTGAGAATGATCCGATTGAATCTTCTGAAACTGATATTTAATATTAGTGCAAGTGCGCGCTCTTTCATACTTCATTTTTTTCTACAGGTGGCTAGCAATTCATCTCAAAGTGTAGAGCTAATGCTACAAGAGAGTTGCACGGATGATTCAGGGAGCCTGGTGGTCTACACAACAGTAGACGTGGACGCGATCCAGCTAGCTATGAACGGGGAGGATCCATCGTGCATTCCTCTTCTTCCCTTAGGGTTTGTAATAACACCAATCAATAACGGACAAGTCAATATGAACAACAGTGACAACAACGTCTCTGGTACTGAGGCTAATTCATCTCAATCTTCCGAAAAGAGACAGAACTTGTCCTCAATTCAAGAGTATTCAGGAGGATGCCTACTCACCGTTGGATTACAAGTCCTCGCTAGCACGATCCCAAGTGCAAAGCTCAATCTATCTAGCGTCACTGCTATTAACCATCATTTATGCAACACCGTACAACAAATCAATGCTGCACTTGTTGCTTTTTACCCCGACACAGAGATAACTGCACCATCATCTCCACCACCACAACAACCAAAATCGTCCAAGCAAGCGGACGAAAACTCAAATTCCTAATTACCCAAAACCTCCCTCTAACAAATTTTTTTGTAAAGGGAGGTTATGAGTAATTTGTGAACAATGAAAAGCTGGGTAAGAGATAGAGCGACTAAAGTACTATTTTGGGGAGTGGGTCCCCATGCAAATGAAGGTTTTAATAGCCTGTACATTTTGCATGGGTGGACCCCTAGTAAATAAATGACAAGAGTCAGAAAGTAGTTGTTAGGTAGGTGGGAAAATCCAGTGAAATGATCGTTTACGTGTGTTTTTTTTTTGAATATTTTGTTGTGATTATGATTTTTAGGAAGTCAAGAACGAACCAGGTGACAGGTGAAAATGAAAATCGTTAGTGAATGGTGAAAAAATTACCCCTACAAATTAAAAAAGACTATGGTTCGGGTATTGACTTTCTTTTGTTTAATGTTCCTCTACTCCTTCCTACTAGTGTTTAATTTTTTTGTGTTGTTGATCAGAAGAATTACAATTTGCAGTTGTTTTATATATATATCCTTCATTTTGGTCGATTTTTTCATAAATTTTTGCTATTAGTATTTACTAAAATCACTTCTTGTTAAATTGCTCGTAGCATTATAACAAATACAATTTTTAGCGATATTAAAATCTTTATTGACATTAGTTAAGTGTCACTAAAAATACATATTTAACGGTAATTAAGAATTAAATCCTCCACTGATGATATTTTTATTATGTTGTAGTTATGATAATATATTGCTAAAACAAAATTATAGTTTAGCTACGTAATTTGTCCATCGCTACTAAAATAACTTGTACTCTCAAGTTGAAAGTCAAATTTCAAATTGAACTTTTCTTTTTTCATTTTTGGTCATTTATGGAGGAGTTGATCTTTGAGATATAGATGGAGAAGTACAAATATATTAGTCACATATGTCTATAATATATATAAATTAATTATACATTTAATACCAAAAATTAAAGTTGGGATCCTTGTCTCTAATCAGTGTAAACACGAGATATATTATGTGATAACATTTGGCATTTATAAGCTTTCAAATTTTTCATATTAATATGCCTCGAGATAAATATCATTAAATTCCTTTCACTTTCATGTTGAAATTAGTATCATATCCCTTTTGTATATTTGTCTGGTCCAAAATTTTGCTGGACAGATTGAGACGTTTGTCAAATTAAAGTGAAAAAGAAAGGGCAAACTAATTGGGTATATATATGTGATAAAAAATTATCTTAAAGACACCATTTATTTTGTTATATTTGAAGAAATTTTCCCTCATTTAAATAAATTATAAAAATTTAATAATCTCTTCTATTTTTAAACATTCATCTTTAACTGATGTATGGGTTGTATACGTCACCGTAATGTATCAGTCGAATATATCACTTTACGCAAGTATCTGAATATACGTAATGTAGCGGGACGTTGGATGATGTATACGAAATTGAGACGTGATATATCGGTACATGTATACGAAATCAAGAGGTGATGCGTAGGGACGTTGAGTAATGTATCCGATATTGAGACGTGATTTATCGAACATTGAGTGTACACAATATATCGATAACATATTGTGATGTATCCAAATTCTACCAAATTTAAGTGATTTTTATAATTTAAAAAGGATAGAAATATGATGTAATTAACTCTTAACACTATGTGATTTATGTAAAATTAACCTTTGCCATTAAAATGTAAACCTTTGAAAGTTGATTCGAAAATGAGTATTTGACTTCTTCTTTTTTATCAGAGGAACTAGATTATTAGTTTTGTTTCAAAATTACCTTTCATCCCCTAAAAATCTTTTTTTTTTCTTTTTCTAGCTGTATTTCTTTATATATTATTATTTTTCTACTTAAATTTTTTAAATGCAATGAAATATACAAGGAAAATGTATTGATGGTACATTTGCATATGATACTTTGAATTTAAATTGGTATCTCTATTTATAAACTTAAAGTATTAATATATCAAGGATACAAATATTTATAAAAATTTAATGCATTAATATATCAAACAAAGTAAAGTATGACAATTAACATATTAACACGTTGGTTTGAAAAATGGATACATTGTTTTTATATAAAAAAATGGATACACCATTATAATTTACACATGAATATATTGTTGTTAAACAAAAGATAGATACATTGGATAACATAGAAACATGAAAAATGGAAAGTAATAGAATACGTAGGTATCAAATTGTGCAAGTATTCGGCCGTATAAAAATCTGATAGAATCAACAAACGTCAAACTCATTTTGGTTAAATTTTTCCAGTAATACTTGAGGCCTAGAGTGTGTGTTTATAAAAGAATAATATTATTGTATCCAATTATACTTTTATTGCCTAACCAATCTTCTTAAATTGGAATATCTTACAAAGTTTTAGACAGTGTAAAGACAATATATTCACATCCCAACTAAATGCATACGTATATTACTTTCGAGACTTCGTAATAAACTCAAATCAAGTGACGATTCTAACCAGTTTCTAAAGTTCAATTACAATTTAACAAGGTCAATGCAACAACTCAAAAATGCAAAAGCCCAAACAAAAATACAGAAATATTGAAAGTAAGAACAAGGATCGAATGAATGAAGAAGGAGACAAGGAACTAGAGTCGGATGAGAGATACTGCCAAAGCATGATCATATTACGCATAAACTATTATTTCTAACTATATGTCCTTTTGAACTAGCTGCTAATTGGGCCTGGATCCGAAATCAACCTTTGTGAAGGTCTTCTGGTTCTATTTCTCAGCCCAATAGTTAATTGACCGCTTTCATGTCCAGCCTGGTTACATGACTTTTTGAGATAATAACTGTTAGTTGAGTGAGCATATGAGAATATGAGAAATCAACCCTGTGAAGAAACTAGGACTCGTCTATCCCAAGGAAGCTGAAGAAGAAGTTGTACCATTTTCCCAAGACTCCAATTTTGGCAACTTATCATTTGTGCAAAACAAAAACTCATTTTCTCTATTCGATTGTGCTCCGTGCTTCATGTTATTCTCTTCACTCTCTTCAGAATCAGTGCTCGAATTCTTCTCAACGAGCTCTTGAAACATGGAGGATCGAAGCAAAAGGCTTAGAGCAGTAGGTGACGATGACTTCTTGCAATAACTTAAGGGCATTTTTCTTTCAATAGGTTCCTGGCTACGCGGTATAGCATACAGTTTTTCAGTATTGGTGGTGATGGTTGTGAAATGATTGTGGTTAAACGAGTATGAAGAGTCGTGTATCGGGTTGATCATATCATTAGTGTTACTAATTTGTATAGGCTGATCTTCTGATGTTAAATCTTGAAATTGCATTAGAGAATTGGTATTATTTGGCTTTAGCCATCTAATGTATGTGTTCATGTCAAAGTTTGTCATCGCGTTAGTTCCCCTGTATTCAATCGCTGCAATATCATAAGCTCGAGCAGCCTCTTCTTGAGTGTCTATTGAAAACAAAATAGTTAAAAAAATGTTTCGAGTTAGAATCAATTTGAATGCGTTCTTGATTTGAATGAAATTAGTTAAAGGGCGCGAAAAACACTTACTATAAGTACCTAAATATAGATATTTGTTACCAAATACTCGTCCTATTCTTGCTTCCCATCTGTTATTGTGATGATGCCTGAATGAAATTCGATGAATTATTCGTTAACTGTTATGAACATAAACATACTAAAAGACCCGAGTAACATTGTCTGATTCGATTGTAATGTGTTAATTTACCTCGCGACTCCTCTATACTTGGATACTCCGCGAGCAAAACCACTGCTTCTTCTGTTTGAAAAAACAGAACAAATTTCGTTAATTGAAAAAATTTACTTGATTTTGAGGTGTGAATTATGATGTAACGTGTACCTTCTTAAAGAGGCTAAATGTTCTTCCTTTGTCATACTTTGCATGATCTCAATTTCTTTCTCATAATCAGATATCTACATATTAAGATGAAGTAGAACGATATGATCAGTTGATCGAAGTGTGTGACCATCTCATATTTTACAGATTAATACATACCGGAAAATTGGTGAAAGTTGTTGTGCCCCAATACTTGATTGCAGCTAAATCATAAGCTCTTGCTGCTGATTCTTCTTCGTCGTAAGCTCCTAGTACATAACATAAATAAGAAGCTGCAAATTTAGCATATAACTCCAAATTTTTCGAATTTTTTTTAGCTCAAGCTATAATTTAGTACTCACCAAGATAGACTTGTTTCCCCTTCTTTTTCTGAGTTACATTCCATGAAGCCTTATCCCATAAATGAGCTTCATATCGCCCTGTCCATCGATGCCTGCAAAATCCAATACGTTTATCAAATTTTAGCTGTACTCCCTTTGTTTCAGTCTGTTTGTCTGATTTTGACTTAACACAAAGTTTAAGAGAGTAAACTGACTTGTAAGAAAAAATCAACTTCTCATAAAGATATTCATTCAAGTAGTAGTCATATTCCCTCTGTTTCAGTTTGGTTTTGACTTGATACAGAGTTTAAGAAAGTAAACTGACTTATGAATATGTTGAACATACCAGAACACCACATGTCATGTAGAAAGTTAAAATTAAATAGTTATCAGAAATGGAAAGAGACGTTCTTTTTTTGAAACGAGATAATTGAGTACCTACTAACACCTCTGAATCTTGAACTTCTCTTGACAGTAGGAGTTTGTACAATACTATTACTTTGATCTACTTTTGATGAATCCAATTTTTGGCTGTTATCATTCACTGTAACGACAGTTGCTGGAGATTTTCTTCGTCTTTTAATACATTTATTATTAACTGGAATATCATAATCCACCATACATAAACTTCTTCTATTTCCAGGGCTCAACTTCTCACATTTAACACTAATTGCATTCATCATCTCTATTGTATGTAAAATTTAGAGCTTTTTAATTTCTTTAGTTTGATGCTTTGTTACACTACATATTAATTATCTATATATGTTATATATATATATATATATATATATCTACAAATAGTTTTGTCTTGTACTTAGATGTCGATGATTTCTATATCTGAAAAATGTAAATATATTACCAATATCTCTTTCTCCACGTATAAAGTTTTATCAACATTATTTTACTTTTTTCAGACACAGGACTTACTACTAGATTAAACTATTCTTTCTCTATTTTAATTTATGTTGTATCTTTCTACTTTCAAGAGACTATCGTAAAATAATATTGATAGCATATTTCTTGTCTTTTGAATATTTTGAATTATAAATTAACATGACTTATATTATTTTTTATAAGTATTTAAATATGTAAATTTTATTTCTAAAAACTTAAAAGATCGATTCCTGTCCCAAATTCACTATCAAGAAATCAGAAGTTATTTTTAAAATCTAATATTAAAGTATTACATAAATTGAGACAGAGTTTGTTTATTAATTCTATAGTAATATTCCCAAAATGAGTATTTGTCTCGGTTTTGAGACAATTTTTTTTGTATTTAACTAAATAAGGAAATACCCTTATATTATAATTTTTTCTATTTTATTTTGCTAGACATTTTATTGCGGATGATAAAGAAAATGTCACAAAAAAAAAGTATGTGATCCTTCCATGGATGAAATCAAAGCAAAAAACTAATAATTCATAAGAAGTCAAAAATAAGTCATCGTCTTTTGTCTTTGCATTATAGCTATGTTTTTATTTTCTCTAATAAATCCATTATTTGACTTTGTCTTATATTAGTAATAAATCGACAAATTATTAAATTGTTATTTACGTACCTTTCGTTTTTTAGTTGTTTCATAGGGTTCTCCGTAATATTGAAGATCCATTAATTGGCTATTTTTGTCTTTGAGTTGTTTGAGTTGTGAAATTTAAAGCATTAAAGTTTATCAATCGTTATTTACTATGAAGAAAAACTCATAATATTCAAATCATAACTACAATTACAATCATTTTTATTCCTAAGGTTAAAATATTTGATTTAAAATATACATCTTATGAAAATAAGTATTATCATCATTAAGATAGGGTGAAAAAAAATATAATATTTATTTAGATCATCTATTAATTTGAATTTTTGTAATTATATGCAAAAGGTAACAAAATAACCTAAAGTATAGAGGAGTTGCAACTTGGAAGGTATAGCACAAACTAATTACACTAATGATACAATGCTCCTCATTTAAACCCCAATTATTTCACCAACATCAACAATAATATATTTCGTATAATTTTATAAGTGGAGTCTGAAAAAGATAGAACCTCCACCAACTTTATTCCTCTTTATTTTTGTGAGATAGAAAAGTTATTTCCGATAATTATTTCATGTCCAATACTAGAAAATGTATACCACAAAGCAAGGAACTTATTGAACAAAAAATACCCTTTAACTAATAATCCTCCCTAGATCCACCATTTATTGTGTAGTTATCATTGTGGAGTGAGCTTTTCATAATTAGACTGAAAGCAATTTTATGTCTCTAGATATGAGAAATGTCACTGAAAACAGATAATGTTTGTAGCTTCTATAGTCTATAACTAGGATTTAGTCTTTATATAAATCCTAGTTTGTGTGTTGGTTAGTTATGTACTTCCATAACTATAAGACTCTATGAGTGACAATTTTTTTTAGTAATAATAAAATTATTATTAATATTTTTAAATAAAAAATAAACTATATTATGTCTTCCTTTTAGTTTGTTTCAAAGCATTAAAGAATATTTCTTTCATTTTTATCAATTTTTAAATTTAATTTCCACGTCACACGTTTAAGATTACAAGATTAAAAAATATTTTGGTATATTATATCCATGCCATGCATATAGTTTTCCAACCGTGGTTACAACATGGAAGTTTCTTTTCATTGCGTGAAAGTTTCTAAAGAGACTGAAGTTGGGTGTGTGACATTAAATGCTATTGAAATTTTAAACTTATTATCATACTGTCCTGCATTAGAAACTATGAAATTATATGATGTTACTGATTTAGGTTGCAAGAAACTGCGTTTGAAAAAATCAATTCAATACTACGATACTTTCTTTGAAAAAATCCCCTCGTATCTTGATCATTTAGAGATAAGAAAAATCTTCTTGTCGATAGTTAGAGTTAATGTGAATCCTTAGCTGATTAAATCTAGATATTGTTTTGTCTTTAACCTGATTTTTTATAAAAATAGTACACTATCTTTTCTTTGTTCACTTTAATTCTAAATATGACTAAAATTTGTTAATACAACTGTTGTTTAACCGCGAATAGTTTCTGTGGGAGATCTCTTAATTAGTTTATTATTCTAACATAAAAAATTAGAATTGAAAACTAAACGAACTACAAAAAAATAGAGCGACTAAAATTTATTTTTAAAAGAATACGGTGTATTTCTTTTGTCTTATAAATATTACAAAAACTAAATGGTCAATTATAGTTTTCATTACTAGGTGGATGATATTTGTTATTGTCTAATATCTAGTCATTTAATATCAAACTAAGAGTCTTTCTGGGATTCTTATTGACAGGTATTAAAATATTTTTTTTAGCGAAAAAATACTTTTTTTTTTCTCAAAAATTAAGTAATTCACAAATTATTAAAATTGTTTTTAAATAATAGAAAAGCAGTTTTTGTGTTGTTTGAAGAGCTAAAAGTCTTTGCTTACCAAAAGCACGAAAATAGTTTTTAAAAGACTGAAATATCACTTTCATATATACATATTTATCAGTATATTACTTATTAATTAATTAACATATATCACAAGTTTAGTCATGTTTCATTAAAATGAAATTATTTTTGCCAAACAAATATTTTTTTATAAATTTTTATGTTGATATTTAATTATTTTATGTTTTATTTAATCAAAAATAAATGTAACAACAATATTTTTATAGGATTAAATATTATTGTCGAATATCTAGTCATCTAAGGAAGTGAAACATGTCTCAATGAGCATTTGGAAATTTCGATAGAAACGTATTGCTCCAATTCTTTTGAATTTGCATATACCTGATTATGAGGGGAAAAAAAAATTGAGATGATGTAGAAATGTGCTCCAATTTAGCCTCTTTAAGATACCTAACAATCACCAATTTTTTTATCTCAAATAAGAGGAATCTTCTTTATAAACAGATGAGTTGCCAAAAGAGTTTTTATTTTTCTACCCCTTCCCATTGCATCAGCCAGCCATCAACCAAACACATGTTTAAAGTTATTGATTTTGCAAAAAAATATTTAAGAATTTATGGTTCGACGCTAACTAAATAGATGAAATACAGAAGTTGTGTAGTGGTCATAATTTGGGCAATTATCCCTGCCATGTTCTACCACCGAGCTAGTAGCCCGTCGTTAAAGGTCTCCTATGCATAGTGGCAAAAATTTCTCAGCCATCTTTTTCGTTTTTTGATCTCTATGTGGGGAACATGGAGGCATAATAGGCGTACTACCAACTTGTTCCAATCTAAGATTCTTCGCAGGAAAAAAAGATGAATTTAGACTTTTTTTAGTTTCATATGAGAGCCGATTATGTATAAAATGATATAATATAATCCATGATGCTTCTAGTAACATTTTGAAATCTCTAATTAAGGATAGAGCAGTACGATAACACAACTCGTATTAGTGATTCTTCGATTTTTCTCGAATATTCCACTTTGTACATATAGGGAATTTGGGCCAGTGTCTTTTTTGGCTTAGGCTTACTTTTAGTTTGGGCCTTAGAGGCCGCCAGCATTCAGTCCAAGGTCATCGATTAAGAATTCCTGTGTTTTATATTTTAAAATTGGAAAAATTTTCAAAATGTCAATATTTTGATATTTAATAGGATTAATGATTAATATTTTTAATATTCATTAAATATATCAAAAAATAAAAAGAAGTGTTAAAAACAGAAAGGAAAAATTAAGGGGAGAGAAAAATATTAAAAAGAAACAATTGCTTAAAAGTCTTATCAGTTATAAAAATTCAAAAACAAAGAATTAATTAACAATTTATCAAAATACAACAACATCCATCTATTTCTTCTTCTTTCACAATGTTCTAAAATATTTTTTTTTTGTTTCTAAAAACGTTTATTTACCATATATTATCATATTTGAAGCAGTTTATTCTACTAAGACATCATTTTGACGTTATGAAATTATAATTTATCATTAAGAATGTCTGAAATTTTATGAAGTTATTTGGCTATCATGTTAAGGTCATGAATTCTACTAAGGCATCATTTTGACGTTATGAAATTATAATTTATCATTAAAAATGTCTAAAATTTTATGAAATTATTTGGCTATAATGTTAAGGTCATGAAGTTTATGTATCTCTTTTTAAGAAATTTTTCAATATTCAAAATACAATACTCATGTATTTATGGTATAGGTATTATTCCATATTACATATGCATTTTATTTTGCTTATTTCTAATATCACTTTGTGTACCAAATAGTTTGTATTTAGATTTAATTTTGTATTCGTCCTAATGTATACCATAAAGTTTATATTTAGATTTGATTTTGTATTCGTCCTAATGTATACCATAAAGTTTGTATTTAGATTTGATTTCGTATTAGTCTTAATGTATACCATAAAGTTTTGTATTTATATTTTGATTTCGTATTCATTCTCAACTATAAATAGTCAAAATACAGTTTATTTATATATTCATTATATGTGTATTCATACTAGTTGCATCAGTCAAATAGTTTTGTATTTTATTTTGTTCATTATATGTATACTAACTAGTTTATCTTTGATTTAGTATTCATTCACAGTATTAAATAATCAAAATACAGATTTATATTTAGATTATCAATTTGTAAAAATAAATTTGACTACAAACTACAAAACATTCAAATACTTCTGCGAAACAACTCAATACCAAAATGTTAATGTAGATTCTACTAAATTTGAAATATAAAAACA